ACAATGCCTCGTTTTAAAGGAGGATGGTGGGGGTAACAGATAGGTTTGTTGAGCCATTAACCGGTTTAAACTTACCAGCAGTAACTATGCTGCTGATCGCGCCAAGGTGGCGCCCCTCTGTGTTCCTCAGATGTATGTCTTTGTTGTTTCATAGTGTTATGGTGACACTTCTGTTTGTGTCCTTTGTTGTTTTCTTGTCTACGATAAGTATCTTTTCTTTGCCCCTAGTTTCTGCCTTGCGCCCTTTTTTTGTTTGGGATCCTCCTGGGCTCCTTTCAACTGGTTCTTGTGGCCGGTTGCTGTGGATATTGCGTTAATTGATACCGTCTTTTCTTGGTGATTTTGTTTACCATATTGAATACAATTATGTCAAGATTTAAAGATTTGAATAATAAATTAGCAACTATTACAAAACTCAGATAAAAGAAAGGACTTAAACAGATGTTAATGGCCATAAGAATTGTAGGCTAAATGAAAGAATGGCAGAAAATAGGAACTAAAATATATTTCTTTTTATCGAGGCAGCACAAAATTCATTTGAATTTATTTTCATTGATGCAAAGAGAGATACTACAATTAAGTAATAAGAAAGTTGCATTCCGATATTACGTAAGAATAAACTTACAAAAATTGCTTGTTTCATATTTCGTAAGATAGAAATAAATCAGATCGTCTTACAACATAATTTTATTAAAACGCTTTCAATTGATTTATAATATTACTTCATTACCTCTTTTAAACTTAAAATTTAACTAAATTTCAGAAATAAAGAATCAATACTAAGTAACAAAAAATACCCCATTTCTATTTTCAAAAGGAGGCGACCAAGTAGTCAGTAAAGTTTGTTTGTTTGATTGGGTTTCACGTCATTTCGACACAATATTATATGTGACTATATGTAAGGAGGGATTTTGTTTCTAGATACATCTTCATAGCTAATATGGATGGTGGTTTCAGGGATTGGATTCGAATCGATTACCTGGCGCCTATTATTTTTCAAAGTTCAAATGATTCAACATATGATAAACAAGATCATCAAGGAAAGGCGGCGTTCACTGAACGCAGACCTCTGCATTCATTGAACCTCTGCGCGGAAAATCTATGATTAGGGTTACAGAAAATCACAATATATCCTACCTTTAACCGAATTTTTTATAAATAAAGGCCCTAAAACGCATAACCCTGTAGATAATAGATAATGATTCGCTGACAGTTATAAAATTAATAAATCATGTAATCTCCTAATATTCTTTTGTCAAGAGGAAGATTGTGGTGGGAATATCTGTATTGTAATTTTGTACTGATGAATGTAATCCATAAACAGACAATTTAATTACAACTCAATAGTATTACTGTGATTTGATATATTATTTTTCATTTATATCATATAAAGTATTTTTTCTTAAAGGTCCATATCGTTGATATATGTTAATTGAATATAACATCAAAATAAATATTCAGTTCTTTTAACTTGATTTGTTTCCTTAATTGTAAGTAAGTACAAATTCGATGTAGGGTTAGGGTTAACCCTAACTCATATCAGTGCTAGTATACAAGTTTATTGATATCCAATAAATAAACAAAATCAATAGTCGCAAAGATGTTTCTATTTGCAAATCGGTACGAGGCGATAAGTGTTTTTGCAGATAAATAATAGTTATGTACATGTAACTAAAACCCAACGAAGGTATATCTTTATTCTGCTCAAAACTGTAAACTATCATAAACAAGATCAACAGAGAAAGGCGGCGTTCAATAATCGCAACCCCCACACGACCCAGCAACAAGAACTTGTAGCAAGGAGCCCAGGCGGACCCTAAACAAACAATGCAGATGATATTTATCTGTCTTGTCTAAAATGAAAATATATTTTATCAATGATATTCAAAAACAGTATTCCGACGTGGAACGGCAACAACTGTTAAGTAAGTACTGCTAAAATTTCGTTCATGTGAATTTAACTAGTATCATTCAATTATAACATTTTATTTTCACAACCAACTTTGTTTCTGTTTTTGGCAAAACTGTAATAAGTGTATTATTGCATGGGAACTTTGTGAGGAAAACATAACTTTGTTATTAGTAATTGTTCAGAAAAACATAAACGCATGTAAAAAGAAATACAGCGCTTGCCAACATCATCCATATATAATTATTTTGTGGTTGTTATTTTGTCTGGTCCTAAAATTTAATTTTATCAACTTTATTTAGTATTGTATAACAGACCTTCTATTTCTGACCAATTCACTTTAACAAACAATATTTTAAAAAAAAGAAGATATTTTTGGTAAAAAAGATAGATAAAGCGCAAATTTTACTTATACTGTAAAATGCTTTTAATGATTTATAAAACATCAATAAATGTACTTTGTTTTAATTCTGGCTTACATTAACAATATCAATCACAGTATTTACCATTGTAATTGCTTTTGAAACGACTTCAATATATGTTTTTGACATAGCAATTATCTACTCCCCTGTCCGCCATTTTGAGGTTCATTTTTATATATTATATGCCTGAGATAACATATAAATCTCTTATTATTATTCATGAAAACTAATATAAATATTTTACATTTTGGTGCTTAATCATTTTGTCTTATTTGTATAAATCTAGAATTTCACGATTTAATTAAATGAGCTGTTTAAATGATTTTTTATAAAAAGTATTTTGTATTATATCGAATATTGATTGACCCCCAAAATGCCAATTTTGGCAAGGAAGGTAAATATTGTAAACATTTAAAACGAGATATATATTATGACAGTTTAGAGAGTGAGCATATATTTACACAATGCCACGCATGTAATATTTTTGATGAATGTAAGATAACAAATTCAAAGCTATGTGTTTTGAAACACTATATATATTTTTATGGTTTACTCGAGAAACATTTCAACTGTGACGCCTTTTTGTTTGTAGCAAGGTAGATATATTGTGATAAAATTGTTTCATATATCGTATTGAAGAGCTATATCGAATGAAAAACTTTAAGAACATTTGTGTCACTATAGAATGGGAGTTTCTATTCTCTGATGGTGAGGTCTCTGTTATTCAACACCCATTATACTGTACATTAATAGAAAGAACTTTTTTCGAAACAAAATATAATAAATTGGCGTAGATTTCAATTAATTCAATACAGAAATTCATAGAAAGTCAATAAAGTATTGGAAGTTTATATAAAATTTATTTTCCCACCAGAGTTTACATTTATTATTGACTTACGTAATCCACACATGTGATATTGCCTGTTTCAGGCACATATGAAACTGTCTTATACGTATAAATTTTTAGCCATCAGGGTTAAATCAGATCTCAGTTTTTTTCCAAAGATAGATGTTATGGCGTTTTGGAAGCTATAGGAAACATACATAAAAAAACTAATTAAATCTATATTCTGTCCCATAAATAATGTCCTTAGAGTGTTTGGTAATTAAATTTCTTAGTTAAAAATATGTATCAATTTGATTGGGTGAATTGGAGCTTTTTAATGGAATTTTATGTATCATTCTTGAATTAAGAAACCGTGCGCAGCAATGGGGATCTCAAACACTATATTTGGTAATCAGGCAGCATTCAACCATTTCAAAAATATCATCCATTGGCTGAGGTCCCTGTTATATTTTCGATCCTTAAAAATCGTTCAACACGACATAATTGTTGTGTTTGTGGTATATTCAGTTTTAATTATTTTGGCATTTTCTTTACATTTTCTAGTTAGGTGATTCCAATATTCCTACTTGAATAATTTTGAATCACTTTAGGATATGTTGCCTGCTTTTTAACTTTTTTTACGTCTTATCTGCGATTTGCAGGCTTCATAGCCTCTGATCGTCTTTCAAAATTCAATTTTGTTTAGTGCTGCCTATTGTTGTCTCCTCCTCTAGGGCACAAGCTATTTATTACCCGGGGACCATACGACGCTTTTCATGGAATGACACTTCTGTGTCGCATTTAATGTTCCACAATACCAACGTATGAACACTTCTGTGGATGTTCCTAATTCAAAATTTTACCATTCCATGTTTGAAATATAAAATTCTGCGTAAGCAGGTGCTAGAGGGTGTGGACGGTAGTTTTACACTTTAAGTACCGTCCATGAACAGGCGCAATAAAACACAAGCCTGCAACATATTCAATTTTGCCGTATTGGACATTCTTTTGGGACTCTTATTTTGTCTATTTTATCGCCTCATCAACATTGTCTCTGACGTGTGGAGGGTGTAAAATGTTGCCCAGTTCAAATTTTCAGCGACATTATATTTCCGATCCTTGAAGATTGTTCAGCACGACATTATTGTTTTGTTTGTGGTATTTTTATTTTTAATTATTTGGCATTTTCTAGGGTTATGGTTGATATTCCTACTTAAAAATATGTTGCATCGCCCTTTGGATATGTTGCCTGCTTTTAAACTTAAATTACATTTAGTTAAGTTCCGCCCATTGTTGTCTCGTTTTGGGAACATGCTTTTTATTACTTGAGGATCACACGCCGCTTTTCGTGGAATGACACTACTGTGTCGCATTTAAGGTTCCATGATAACCACTGTATAAACACATCTGTAGATGTTTTTAAATTCAAAATTCAACCATTTCATGTTTAAATATTGAATTCTGCTTAAGTCGATGCTAGGGGTGTAGACGGTAGTTTTGAACTTGCCAGTACCGTCTATGAACAGGTTCAATCAAACGAAGTCTGCAACATTTGCAATTTTGCAGTGTTACACATTCTTTAGGGATTCTTATTTTCTCTAATTTACACGATAAGGCATTCAGTAGAACATAATGTTTAAAGTTCAACTTTGAAAGAAATCACAACATGTCAAGGAAAAGGTAAGCAGTCAACTTCTATAAAACTGTTTTGTTAGAATTGTAATTATATTGCTAAGGTCGATACAACTACTCTGAGATGTTTAAACTTCGATTTGATTTTTTCTACAATAAATACTGAACTGGAACGTAATTGTTACCTGTGCAACGTACGTAACAACAACGCTTGGTTAATAAACGTTTATTAACATTTTAAGAGCATTTGTAAACATTAATGAATTTTGATAAACGTTATACTAAAATTGGAAGTGCAAGTGAAATTATTATTATCAATATTGTTGCACAAACCCCTGCAATCATTCATTTCAACGTTACTTTAAGACTTATTTCAAATGTTATCATTTTATAAAAGTGTTTGTGTGTGGTAACTGTTTCCTTAAGAATACAGTTGACTTTTAATCCTGTTTAAATATTTGACTTTTTTATTATAACATCTCAATCAAGCATTATATGATAAGTCATCTACTGACTGTGTTTCTTTTCTAAAAATACATTTATATTGCGTTGAAGATTTTTGTGTGTAGTTCTACTTCTTATTTGGTCAGTAAATTTTGTATGAAGTTCAAATCCAAGTCTTCCCATGCAAGAAATAACGTATTCTGGAGACTGGTTGTTGATATGAGAATAACCTTTTTGTCCAGGCCTTGCCCAGCTCAAAATGACACCTTCACGTGCATGTCGAACTATGTTGCTTATCAAAACCTCCTCATAACCTTTAGGGATGTGTTCGGCTACTTCTAGACATAATATCCAATCGTAGACGGGTAAGCCAAACTGTGGTAACGAAAGGTCAAGAAATTGCACGAGACCATTGCTTGTTATCTCACAAAAAGGGGCCCCATCATATGCATCATATGTTTTTACTAATCCTGTTTCAAGTATTGCGCTTTTAAATCTTCCTGGTCCGTCTCCAAAACTTGCAATGTTTTTCCCTTAAAGAAGAAATATAATCAAAAAGTAAAACTGTCTTAGGACTCGTTCAGTAATCATTAATAAGATATCAGAATCGAGGCATTGTGTGTAAATGTCAGTGTAAATGCTAGAAGTACATCGAGCCTGTAACGTTTTGATCAAACCTCGTATATTGAGTGTTTTTTTTTTTTTTTTTTTTTTTCATAATGTATTTTTTAATGTTCAAACTCAAATTCAATATAAGGAGGGATCTTTAAAATACACTGTGACAGACCAATAAGTTGTATTGTTTAGATTATTTACAGTTTAACATTCTTTCTAACACCAAGTACAAATAAAAGCTTTCTTGAATAATTAGATAGAAATTACCGGTATTAGAACATTTATGTCTTAATAAAGAATGCGATAAGGTACAAAATGTATTTCATAACCTTTCACAACATAAATACTAGCTTCTAAAGGAGATACGTATAATCCATTGTTACTATGGGCAGCATGATTCATTGAGACTAGGTATATTTTAGTAACGTTTGTGCTTTATAATGTTTGTGAGAATAATGTGTATACTCTGAATAACTTATATGTTTTGAAAAATACCTAAAACATTCCGAAATATTTGTGTTCATTTCAATCTTTGTGTATATTTGTTGGATCAAATTAATATAGATTGATTGTAATTAACCTTGAAAGAATTCGGCTAATCCTGCAGCAAGACTTTTGTCAAACCCTGAATGTTGCGTTTTGGAGGCTATGGGGCACCATCCGCCTGCATCAGTCGTCTCCTCCTTCGCAACTTTTGTTCTGTTTAACTCCTTTTAAAACAGATTCAAGTCAAATCAATAAGCTCCATATTTTAATCTTAAACATGATAAATATTACGTTTAAACGACAGTTTAAAAAACAAAGAAAAAATATTTGAAATGCGTATTTGTGTGTCATAAGAAATATCCTTGTAATAAAACAAATTATATGAATATACAAGCGCCATTGCAATTTTTGAAAAATATTGAAATATTCGTTATAATTGATTCCAAAGTTTTCTCATTATTCCTCACAAGCATATAAAAGTAATGGCATAGAGAAATACACCTATCGCCCTAAATGGTGTTAACACATTGTTTTCGTATGCATCATATATTTGTAATACATTTGTCTCCCTTATTTGTCTAAGAACAAATATTTTGTCTGAAATAACTGATTCCCTCTTCTTTTTTAATCATCTTAATATAGAATAACTTGTTAGAGTGGGAAAAATAAAACAACCATTCTTATAATTTGTCTATATCATTCGAACTCAATCAGTAAATTAATACATGTACCACATAAACATTAGGTTGCTTTATACAAAAAATGCATTTACTATAATTTTTTTTTCAAATAAATACACTACCTTGCATTTCATTCGCCCGATAATTTGCTGTTTCTTGTTCAGCAATTTTGCAAGATCATTTCTCTGACTTATCAGCATGTTTTTGTCCTGTCTGACATTGCTATTTGACCCTGTTTCCATGTACTAAATGCAAATTAAAAACATTAATCACGAACCAGCTAAATTTGTAATTGATAAGCCCTTTTTGACTTAAAACTAATTAAATTTAGACGGTATCTCAGTGGTTTCCATATCAAAAAAGTAACGAGCATGATGTACATATTTATCTTGCTCTAAACTGATGGTAAAAACTGATCACTACGGACTCAAACACGATAAGGGATGAGAGAATGTAGATATACAACAACACGCAGAAAAAGTCCGGGGAAAACCTTTTACAACTGCTGCGTAGCAAATTATCACTTATATTAATCCGGAATGATCAGAAAGATATAATGATACTGAAAATGATATGATTATAAATCACGTGGGAACATAAATGTTTCTTCGAGCACTTCCACATGCTGCAACATCGTTCTTTTTCAAGATTGATTTAGATTTATATCTTTGCTGTGTTCCTACGAAATTATACTGCTGTTCGGGTATAATTAAAATTTATAAACTTTTGTCTGTACATTAATTTTAGTGTCGAACAAACATGTATCTATTGCAATCAAAAGCAGTAAAATTTACGATAAAATTTATTGCAAAAATATTACCATTTTCTTCCAGTCAATATTGTAATTCTTATTCCACAGGCCTGTCCATAAAGTTGCTGCAACCATTAAACATAACAAAACACAACAGAAATTAAAAGCATCCCTTCGAGTCATTTCCAATTTTTTTAAGGAATTTTAAACAACTCTTATTAACATTCGTATATCTTACTCACGTCTCATCTGATTCTATATAGTTAAACAAAGACGCAGAAAAAAGACAAGGTATATCAAACACAAAATAACACGATTAAAAGAGCGCAAGATCAATACTAAACAAAATATAGGTCCAACATTTTACCATTAAACTGGCTAATATAAAGTGTTTGAAAGTTAAAATTCAATTGCATATATAAATATATATATTAACATATTATTTGCTGCAAATAAATTATTGCATGGCAAATCGTGTGGTATTTTAATATTCCACAATTAAAGTAGTTAGCAAAATATAGAACTTATTAAACGTTTACCCTGATATAATCGAAATAAAATCGAGTTTAAAAGGTTGTAGTAATTGATATTATTCCTACTTGATATTTTGTTAGGGGTATAATTTTTATATTTCTTATGTAAAGGTCTGAATAGATATTCCCTATACATTCACAATTTTAATTTGTTTGTAAATGAATAACTTTTCAAAGATTTTATGGTTTTAAAATTTCGCTGCAAACTTCCTAATTTTGAACACATTACTTTCAAACAAAAAGTATATTTAAAGAAAATACTTGGCCGACGTTAAGTGGTTAAATTGCATATGCTATTTCCAAGTTTGCGATACATATAAAATGTGAGCAATTATTGCATAGCAATAACATGTTAATTTCTTCTAGCGAATTTTTTTTATAAAAACAAAATATAAATTATAAGCATATTGATATTGATGTCTCTTCCAAGTAGGACAACCTTTTTATAGTATTTATTTAGTCCCTATTACAAGCTTGCAACATTTTTCAATTTTGTCGTTTTGTGCGTTCTTTAGGGATTCTTTATTTCTCTCTATTATATCACCACATTAGCGTTATGTGTGCCGTGTGGAGGCTGTAAATTGTTACCCCGTGCTTTCAATCAGGGAAATTTTATGTGTCCGATCCTTAAAGATCGTTCAGCACGACATAATTGCTGTGCTTGTTGTATTTTTGTTCTTTTTATTCGGCTTTTTTCATGTTGGGTTGTTCCAGTATTCCTCAATTGAATACTGTTGAATTACCCTTAGGACATGTTGCCTGCTTTTTAAATTTGTCTTTTGACGTATTATCTGTGATATGCAGGCTTCATAACCTCTGATCCCCTTTCAAAATTCCATTTTACTTAGGTCCGCCCATTGTTTTTTCGTTTAGGCCATACTAATTTCTTCATTTGGGGATCATATGCCGCTTTTAATGGAATGGTACTAACTTACTACATTGAAGTTTCCGTAAAAACCGCCATATGAACACATCAGCAGATGTTTCATAGTTTCAAATTTCACCAGTTCATATCAAATAATGAATACTACTTAAACTGGTGCAAGGGGTCGTGGACGGTAACATGCACATTCCATTACCGTCCGTGAACAGGCTCAAGCAAACAGAGCCTGCAGCATTTAAAATTCTTTCGTTTTGTGCGTTCTTTAGGGATTCTTTCTTTCTCTCTATTTTAACATCACATCAGCGTTAATTGTACCGTGTGGAGGCTGTAAACAGTCACCGAGTGCAATCAATCAGGAATGTTATATTTCCGATCCTTAAAGAACGTTCAGCACGACATTATTGTTGTGCTTGTGGTATTTTGGTTGTTTCTATTCGGTTATTTTCTTGTTCGTTGGTTCCAGTATTTCTCACTTGATAACTGTTGAATCACAATTAAGATATGTTGCCTTTTATTAAATTTGTCTTTTGACGAATAATCTGGGTTATGCAGGCTTCATAACCTCTGATTCCCTTTCAAAATTCAATTTTACTTATTTCCACCGATTGTTTTCTCGTTTAGGACACCTGCATTTTTTTACTTGGGGGTCATATGCCGCTTTTAATGGAATGGTACTAACGTGTCACATTGAAGGTTCCATGAAAATCGATATATGAACACATCTGCGGATGCTTCATAATTCCAAATTTTACAAGTTGAAATGGCGAATATGGCTTGAGCCTGTGCTAGGGGGCGTGAACAGTAATTTACACATTCCATTACGGCCATGAACAGGCTCAATCAAACCGAATCTGCAATATTTTCAATTTTACTTCTCGCTATTTTATTTACGTTTGATTTTATAACATTTGTACTAATATGCAATATTTGCAGTATCATTAAAATAATCGCATATATAATATTGCAAAGAATAGGAAAATAGGAACAAGAGGATAAAGAAAAGCATAATGTCAACAAACTACTTTTAAATGTTTTATCTTTGATTTAATGCAAAAAGCTATGATGAAAATGAGAACAAAATAAACACTGTAAAAACTTAAGGAGTTAAACAGAACAAAAGTTGCGAAGGAGGAGACGACTGATGCAGGCGGATGGTGCCCCATAGCCTCCAAAACGCAACATTCAGGGTTTGACAAAAGTCTTGCTGCAGGATTAGCCGAATTCTTTCAATCTATATCAATTTGATCCAACAAATATACACAAAGATTGAAATGAACACAAATATTTCGGAATGTTTTAGGTATTTTTCAAAACATATAAGTTATTCAGAGTATACACATTATTCTCACAAACATTATAAAGCACAAACGTTACTAAAATATACCTAGTCTCAATGAATCATGCTGCCCATAGTAACAATGGATTATACGTATCTCCTTTAGAAGCTAGTATTTATGTTGTGAAAGGTTATGAAATACATTTTGTACCTTATCGCATTCTTTATTAAGACATAAATGTTCTAATACCGGTAATTTCTATCTAATTATTCAAGAAAGCTTTTATTTGTACTTGGTGTTAGAAAGAATGTTAAACTGTAAATAATCTAAACAATACAACTTATTGGTCTGTCACAGTGTATTTTAAAGATCCCTCCTTATATTGAATTTGAGTTTGAACATTAAAAAATACATTATGAAAAAAAAAAAAAAAAAACCCACTCAATATACGAGGTTTGAGTAGGAATTGGGTTAGGGTTAGGGTTAGGAATGCAGTCAAATGCGAA